CCCAGATAAGTGCCCAACAACCTTTAAGCTTCCGAGCTCTTCAAGGGTTATGAGGTGGCCCGGTTGGACATAACCTTCGCATCAACAGATCGGCTGGTTCTCGTGACCTTCTACGATGTGCGGGTGGCCCAGCAGGTCCTCTCAGACCTAAAGCCCAATGCTTGGCCTGCCCAGGAAGGGATGAATGACTTGCGTGCGGTGAGGTTGTCGAGCTCTGAGTTTGCAGCTCTTCCGCGGCACGAGAGAGGCTTTGAAAGGTTCGGTGAGATTGCAGGGCTTTCCAACTGCGTTGGTGACCTCGTTATTGAATTCTATGATATGCGTGCAGCTCTTCGTTGCACCTTTGATATCCCTGGCAGTGAGCCCAACAAGTGTGGACCGATGTGCCACTGGACCGGTGGCTCGGCAAAGGGCACCGGCAAGACCTCGGGTGGGTCTTCACCATCGCCTCCCATGTGGACCGTACGGAGCCCTCCCGGTTTGACTAGGTCTGATGCTGCCAACAATGACCGTGGAATTGCCTTTCTGTTGCATGCGGACCGGAGAGGGTGCTATCCCGAATTCAAAGTGCCTGAAAAATCCTGAAAAAGAGTTCAAAAAAACAAGCGAAAACCGCGACATCATGCTGCTGCCCACAGAGGCGCAAAAGACGTAGGTGGCTAGCAGCATGTTGGGGACGACGAATTTCTTTTGCATGTGCATTTTTTTGGTCATACGCTGCACTAAAGTGCAGGAGCGTTGATTGACTTGAGATGGACAACGACACACTGACTAAGTCAGGGGCAATGCCATTCAGCCTTAAGACGGGCTGCGGCTTCTTCTGGGTGAAATCGCCCTGCGATGACATGTAAGATGTGAGTCTCAAAACAGCCTCCGATGCTATCGTCGGGACATGATGGACATGTAGGGGCATGCAAGCTTGAGTTTCCACATTGATCTATGTTTCTATACGGCCATCAAACGGAATGCAGAGCTGGATTGTCTGGAAGTTTCATGAAGTTTGCATCTTATGGAATTGAGCGGGAGGACTCGAATCTATCCATCCATCCATCCATCCATCCATCCATCCATCCATCCACCGATCCACCTATCCACCTATCCACCTACCTACTTACCTACCTGCCTACCTCCCTACCTACCTACCTATCTGTCCATCTGTCCATTTGTCGATCTGTCTATCTGTCTATCGAGTCTATCTATCTGTCTATCTATCTACTGTATCTATATAACTATCTATATATTATCTATTTCCTTATCTATCTACATATATACTATGTTCAAGCACATGAAAGCCGAATATATATATATATATAAAGAAATTTATTTTTTCCACAATGAGCCGTACTTACCTGCTTTCAACAAAAATACCAACAGGTAGCCTTTGAGTCCCAGGCCAGCCTAAGAAAAAACCAAAGATTTCAGGTGAAATAACCTGAATGTAAAGGAATGAAGCGGAGTTTGACAATCAATGATGGATGGATGAATGTGGTTGAAACGTGGAGAAACTATAGACTGAATTCTTGAAACCACATTTGCATTCTTCCTGAACAATGAGTGCCGATTTGAACGCAGCTAAGGCGCCGCGCAAGATCTTTGTGGGTTCTTTGCCAGATGGCATTGAGGCTTTGTCAGGCTTCCTGCAAGTATCTACTATATGCTAGTAACTCATGTCAGGCTGACGTGGTGAAAGCGGAATTTAGCAGATACGGCCTGGTCGAGGACTTGGACGGGCAGTTTGGCACCAGAGTCTTTTTCCTTCCAGCCACGGGTTTCGAATGTATTTTATATATTTTATATTTTGTGGGCGTTGCACCCTAAACCTGTTGCCAAGTTGACAACACAAAGCCCCTTGTGGCCACCCCGGAGCTTCACCTGTGCCTCAGTGCCCTTGGCCAATGCAAAATGCCATTTGGTGCATTGCTTTGAGCACCAGGAGATGTTCCTCAAACAGGGCTGTGAATCGGGTCGGCAGTGGGGCTTTGTCACCTTCGCGACCGCGGAGGAGGCCCAGTTTGCCCAGGCAGGTGAATGGGAATGTGCGATGTCAACGACAATCAAGTCTCGAGTGAGTGGTAGGGGCCGGGTTGATCAAGGAAGTACTGTAATCTTCTAGATTCTAGAGAGCCTCCAGGAAGTCATATAGTGTCACCAGAAACGCCCAGAAACCATTCACCTCAGCCAGGAGCAGACCAATGGGATCCTGATGTTCGAGACCTCTCTTCGCCCTTGCGAGGCCTGGCCACTGGCCTTGGCGAAAGACCAGGGAGGCGGTCCACAATCCCACACAGGGCCTTAAACGTCAAAACTGATTTCCACCAGGATGTCAGGTGAACAGTATGGACCTTGATAACTTGATGGGCCAAAAGAAGCTGCTTGTTTTTCGGAGGCAGGTTCTAGCAGGGCCTCCACGAGGGTATCAGCAGGGTAGGGCCGGGCCGGGCAGCGTTCGCCGCCGAGCTGTGCCTTCGAGCTGTGCAGGTCATTTTTGCTCGAAATCAAGGCCTTTATGGATCTGGAAGCTTGACGAAGACGGCCCAGCCGAGCCCTTCAAGCGTACTGCCCATTGACACAGGCCCAAAGAAGGCTGGACCATGAACTGAGGAGAGAATGAGAGAATCGATCAAGCCCAGAGGAAAGGACTAAGAAAATGTGTGGAATGCCGAAGGTTTTGGATTTGGAAGAGGCACACCGCCAGATCCCGTTGCCATGTTTTGGTCAGACATGGCTTCATAGCTCGGACCAACATCTTACACGCCCTGGGAAAACAGGGTGTTTTCTACTTCCATGTTAGTTCCAGGGAGAGTAGCAACTTCCAGGCTGCCATAGAATTACATTTCCCAGAATTGGTTTGCAGGAGAATGTGCCGGAAACACATTTTTTGGGGTGGAAACCATGGTTTCCTGTAGATTTTCCCTTTTAGCAATCCAATACTAGTAGTAACAAGAAGCTACTAGTAACAAGTGCATCGCTACTAGTAACAAGTGCCTTACTAGTAGTAACAAGAAGCATAGCCCTTGACAATTTTTATGTTCCTGAAGTCTCGCCCTGCAGATTTTCGTGGGCACCCTCCCTGACAACGTCAGCGAGCTGCTTGATTGCAATTCAGCTCAACTGACTCATGATCTCACACCATTTCGCTGTCTCAAGGAATGTGCTGCTGGAGGAGTTCTCCAAGTATGGGGAAGTGAGAAATGTGTTCTTGAAACCCAATTGTGACCCTGGCAGGCAGAGTCCTTCGAGCGCCATGAATGATTGTGTCATACTCTTCATTGCCAAAAGCTGCCAAACCGCACCTACCAGGCATTGGGGGTTCATTACCTTTGCCACGTCGCAACAGGCTATGGATGCGAAGGCAGGTCCCAGCTGGGTTAGCGTGAGTCCCAAGGTAAATCAATGTGCCCCGAGAAACATTATGGTCCAGATAATAGATGAGATATGACGAGGTCTGATGAGATCTGAAGACCTAGTAAATACAAACCAACACTTAGCGGCTCTCGATGGTGTGTTGTGTCGGGATCTTTGCAGGCGAGCTGTGATCGAACTCTCATGCTACCAGGTGCCCCGAAAATGTTTTTGGTGCTGCCTGCAGAAGTGTTTGAAGTTCTGGCTTTACTTTCTCACGCGCAAATCCTCACGCTGGCCGGTTTGCACAATTCTAAATTGCGAACACCTTGTTCATCGCCTGCCCTTTGCGAGACACCCGATATTTGCAGAGAAAGAATGTGTCAATGGCCAATCGCTGGGCTCTGAGGCGCTGAGAGGCCCTGTGAGGTGACCATAGCCAAGCATCAAGGGATGTATGGCCAAGATGCGGATGGCGATGGAGGCGCCTAGAGTGATCGCCAGAATTCACTGACTAAGAGAGAGAGAGAGAGACCGACCTGCACATGCTGAGGACGTTTGGCGACCAGCACCAGCAGTCGTAGCAGCTACACTCCCCTGAGTAGCCAGGTTGCCCGGCCGACTTCCACCGTTGGCGCCAGCTACGGTGGTAGCCAGGGCTCAGCTCGACCGGTGATTGGGGCCAGTGGACACAGTCCAATTGGTTTGGCGCCTGCCAATGGCTCTAGCTCAAGCCAGTATGGACAAGACCTACGGCAAACCACAACCTCTGTTGGAGGAGAGCTAGTCGATCGGTTCAAAACAGAGTGGAGCATGAGAACCTGCATGACATGGCATCAGGACCCTGCAAGGTTTTTGTGGGCTCTTTGCCTGATGGTTGCCCAGAGCATCTTCTTAGGCAAGAGTGCCTTGCCTCAAGGTTTGCTCTCCTCACTTTATGCAACGCGGCAGCTTGATGTGTTGCTCATCGTCAATGTGAGATGATCTGAGGTTCTCCAGATATGGCCAAATCACAGATGTCTTCATGAAGCAAGGCTGTGAGCCAGGCAAAGCTAGAAAGCATCAGACCCGGCCAGCAACGCACCCAAGGGAATTGAGAACATTTTTTAATCATAATTCTGGTACCCCTGGATACCCCTTAGTGTTTGCCGAAATCCTCACCAGGCCGGCAGTGGGCTTTCATCATTTTTTCCTCTGCTGAAGAGGCATGGAACACTGCTATTACGTGCCATTACCCTATCCGCATCTCAATGACAATGACATGCAAATGCATGCCGTCTTCACTGTATTCCCTGCATTTGATGACAAGCAAGGCTTGCAAGATCTTGCAAGACAATCTTGAGGTAGCTGCCCAACTGTTTTAATTTCGCAGGCGATGCTTGCCAAGGAATCCACGGACAAGATTCTGCAGCTCCCTGGGGCTTCAAGAGCCTGTGAGGTGGTGGTCAGTTCTGCCGACCGAAGAAGGGTGAGCACATTACGCTGGTGGAGTTGTTGGTTGCAATGCCAGATGCTGCATGATGCTGCATCCTGCAGGTCATGCTGGCGAAGAATCAGGGCATGTATGGACAGGCAGGAATGAGAGCATACGGATTTTTCATTGCATACAATCAGTGAGCCTTTCTGCGACCTTTGTTGGATCCTTTTGTTCTGACTCTGCGCTCTTGTGTCCCAGGCGCCTCTTCGCGCCTTTGGCTTAGGCCCTGGCATGCAGGGCTTGCCGGGGCAGCCGCCGCCTCCAACGACGCCGCCCCCACCACATTTGACACCTTGGAGGACGGGGACATTCTCTGGTGCTATCCGGTACCCTTGGAGAATGGGCAGTTAGATTTCAGCCAGACGAGATTTGACCCTACAGTGACTCGTAAGATAAGGCCATCCATGGCCGCTGTGCTCATGAACATCATGAACTGCAGGACATACAAGACGCAATCAGGCTTGCCGTACTACCACAACTCACAGACTGGCCAGACAGTCTGGGAAACATAGTTGCACATTTGGGGTAATCAGCAATTTCTCGAGAAATTTGGTAGTGAGGCACACTGCAATGCCACCAAGGAATGCCCCACAGAGTTTGAGCCTCCGCCGGGCAATGTGGGTGTTGGCAGTGTCCCAGCGAATGGAAGAAGCAGTGCAGAACTCATGGGCCATGTTGTCAGGGTGCTGAACTTCGCAGTTGCAGTGGTTTTGGGCCTTTGGGCACAGTTTCAGTGTTAGTGCGGTACTGGAGGTGGGCGTCCTGGTGCCCGCTATGCACCATATTGAGGCCAGTCGAAGAGAACGTGTGGGTGGGAGCAAATCAGAATCGGTCAAACTTGTATGCTCATCAAAGCCAATAGCTTCAATAGATTCTAAATACAAAAGCGATAAGCAAATACAACATGCTTGTGGCCACACCTCGATTGTCCGATGGCTTCTGGTCCACCACGACGAACTGCACCGCCTCGCCTGAGGCCCACCATGACCTTGCTGGGAGCGTAGCTAGGTCCTGGTTTCTCACCGTGTCAAAATGCTACGGCGAGTGAGCAGGTGGACAAGGCTCTCGCCTTGGCTCTCGGATATCAGAAAAGTTTGCCGCCATGCCCGCAAAAATGCGCCCCACCATACTCCACAACCTCACTGCCGATTCATGTTTTGTTTGGCGGATGCAGCGTGGTCATTCAAACGCTGCTTGAGGAGAGAGAGAGAGAGAGAGAGGGAGTGAGAGGACAAAGGGGGCAGATGGATAGAACACGTGTTACATCGTGTTACCATTAGCTGCTATATTTCTGCCTAATTACTGTATGCGCGTTGAGATGTATATATATATAAGTATCATAATACTACAAAAGAATCTAGGCTGTCACTTGCATGAAGCAGGTCGGGCAAGTCTAGTGGATAAGAAAGCTGCAGAGGACTGTGACTTGGCCGGTCCTGAGGCTATTGTAAACACCATTAAGAAACCTTTTGTGAGTCTGCCCTGCGCATCATCAGTGAAAGTGACATGTGGCCTTGCTGTACACTCGCAGGACCGCTGTAGACTCTCAGCACATGAGCGGAGAGATCCTTTCCGAAAAGACCAGCAAATGAAAATGAGCGAGCTGCATCACCCAGATGGTGACACGAACATAGTACATGTTCATACACAGAAGAGAACTAGCACATATTCTTGTCGACCCAGTCTAGAGTGTGTATAGTGTAGGCTGGCACCATATTGCTTTGTTCTGAGCCACATTGCCAATCATTGTCCCTAGACAAGCTGATCGAAAGCAGCACGCCAGGCCATGATCAGCTCGGGCCTTATTGTGCGAGCCTTGATGACGTCTTCATCTCAGCGGGCTTTAGCAAAGAGCTGAACATGGACATGGGGAGACGATAAAGAAGGGCTACTTGATGCAGTGAGGCCAGCGAGGTGCATGACGGTACTAGCAGAACTTGGCTCAAAAGTGTGCAGTGCACTGTACTGCCAGTTGTAGTGCCTTGGGTGGCAAAGATGCAAGTCCCACGGCAAGGATGGAGCCAATGGCCATCAGCACCTCAGGCAGGGCTTGGGATGAGCTTTCTCCTGTTTGTCGTTGTTGCCGGCATAAGCCGGTAAGGATCGGTCAGGATATCAGAGTTGGTTGTGTTTGGTTTGGGCATTCAATTGGGGAGTCTGTCAAAACGGCTCTTGATAGAATCGAGCCTGGCGGGGAACACATGTCCTGCGAGGCACAAGTGGTGCACCAGGTGATGGCACACAATGGCCAGATGCACAATGTGCAAGTCGCGCCAAAGGCAGCTCCCTTTCCTCCATTGCCGGTGAGCTTAAGCAGGCAACAGATGCCTGACCGCGATCCTGGGTCCTTCACGCCTCCAGCAGCAGGGGTTGGATCTTTTGTGGGTCGTGTGCCAGATGGCACGCCGACGAGCCGTGCCAAGTCACCAGCACAGCCCCAAGGGTTGCTGGTGCGGGCTGGAAAGTCACCACCCAGGATGCCAGGGCCTAAGTCCTCTTTGGGCTTGCCTAGCAGTGCCAGCGCCAGGAACACACCAAAGCCACAGCCTCGTCCAGTGGTGTCTTTTGCGCCGGTGCGATCCCCTTCACCTGGGCAGAGGCCATCGCGTGAAGAGGAGGGCCGTTCTCCAAGCCCTGACCGCAAAGGACAACGAGATCCCAGTTGTGGGAAAGATGCGCGGCCTGATGGCCGAATCCGAGCTGACTTTCGTGATGCCTGCGAAGAGGCTCACAGTGGAGCTCACAGTGGCTCCAGGACCTCGCGCCACTCGGAGGCCGAGACCATCCCAGAAGAACCCCACTACGACGCCGAGCGCGCTGCGCGGGAGCGAGAGCTTCTGGCCATGCAGGAGAGCCAGCCCTTGCGATGTGTTGGGGATACCGTAGTTCAAACGACATGTGGAACATGGCGAACACGGTCGAGCATTGTGACATGCTGCATGATTGCCAGGAGAAGCTACGTGCGCGGGAGCAGCGGGTCGCTGAGCGGGAGGCCGACTTGGTGGCACGCGAGAAGCGCGTGGCTGACCGAGAGGCTGATTTGGCAAAGATGTTTGACCGATTGACGGAGAGGGAAGGGCAGCAGCGGCAGGAGCGGAGGGAGTTGCATGGGGTTAAGTGTTGTCCTGGTTCTTGGAGGAGACATCCCGGATGAACAGATTCAGGATTGAGCGTGGATTTCCTAACTTTTCAGAAATACTGCATTTCACAGATGGTTTGATATGTTGCGGACATCATAACATATAGGACAAACAAAAGAGAGCATGTGGAACAGGACTGCCAGGCACGAGCCCATGACTTGGCAGCTCAGCAGCATGAGCTCCAGGCCCAAGCTCGAGAGCTGAAGAGCCGCTGTGCTGATTTGGACTGTCGCAGTGCCGATTTGGACCAGCGAGAGGCCGGGTTTCGTGTGGAATCTTTGTAGGTCCGGTGTCCGTCCCATCTAATATGTGAACCTCTGGTGATGCCAACATATGCCAACCAAATTTCGAGGTGAGGCTCAAGGCCGAGGAAGACCGCCACCGTGACTTGAAGCGGAGCTTGGATGAGCGAGATGCTCGTTGGCATGAGGCTGCCAAGGATGCCACGATGATCCTGAAGCCGCACCTGAAGCCGCGCTTGTCGCCTCGGGGCAAGGAGCTGAAGCAAAATGAACCAAATCTGATAAATCAAATCTGTTAGTTGAACAAATTGTGGAAACCAATGAGGTTTAGGCTAAAAGCAGCTTTTCTAGTAGCTTCTTGTTCCTATGCCAGGAGCTACTAGTAGCATTCTTGCTACTAGAGGTTTAGGCCAGTTCGGATGTTTGGGGCTAAATTGCGATAGGTATGCTCCCTCGGAAGGAGAACATGGAGCTCCAGCGGCAACTGGAGGAGCAGCGTGGCTTAATGCACAAGATCAAGCGCAAGCAGGACAGCTGGGCTCCAGAGGAAGAGGGCCGGTGCCATCGAGACAGCTTTGGTTCTGAGGAGACGGTTGCAGGCTTTTGACCTGACCAAGGGGGATTGAATTGAGCCATGGACCCCTGCAACCTGCCGGGGTTGGGGTTGCCACAGCCAAATGCTGTGATGGATAAAGTATCGTGGGACGTCTACAGGGTGCCCAGCACCACAGAGGAGGGAACATCATGCGGAGAAAGAGAAGATGGGTATTCTGGGTAGACACGTGATATCATATGATATGATCAGATTCAGCAAGAACAGAACTAAGTCAACACTGAAACGTGCCAGCTGAAGGGTTCAGTTTGACGTTCCTTTGAAGCTGGTGCCTAAGGGGGGAGGTCAGCAGCAGTGATGCCAAGAACGTGGCCTTGCCGCTGCCTTGTTCTGCCGACTTGGCAAAGCTTTGCTTTCCTGACATCGAGGAATGGATCCATATGAAATTGTCCACCTTTCTTTCGTCTTTGGATGAATTCTGGAGACCTTTATATACATGCGAAGGTAAAGGGCAGCCGTGAGACTTTGTGCTGAGTGTGTCCACAAATCATCCGAGGTCACTCCTAGCAGAAATCGCGCCCCGCAAGCATCCTCCAGCAACCTCAGTGCCCCGTGACCCAGTGATGGTGGCTGTGGTGGTAGTAAAGCAGCAGTGGTAGCAGTAGTAGTCGTCGCAGTCGCAGTGGCAGTGGTGGTAGTAGGAAGAGATTTTGAGGCGGGCCCCTGCTAGACATGGCTATGAATTTTCGATGTTGGGGACACCCTGCTAAAATTTGTTGAGTAAGAGAATGTGATGCATGATGTAAAGTACTTTGCATTTTGAAAGCCTGAGCTTTGACCTGTTCTGACTGGATTTCAAGTTCAAGAATGCTTGGGAGTTCTTTGGGGCGTAGGAGGCCGAGGCATTGAAAAGCAGAGGAGAAGGAGACCTCCACACAGTCACGTAATAGTTACAGTAGTGGGTTTGACGTGCTAGACATCGAGAGGAGCTGAATCCGCGTCCAAGACAAATGAAACTGCAACCAGTTCGCTCATGCAAGTGACACAACTCAGTTTGCGCATGCAAAGGAAGGATTGAAAAAACATTGGCTGTGTCATGTGCACCGTGCGCCTTTCATTCACAGATTCTTGCACTTGTCACCGACTTCGCCATGCCACCTACTTGCTCAGAATGTGGATCTACAGATGTGGAGGCTGGAATGACAGAACGTACTTGCGGATGGAACCATTCAATTTATATAACATGGTTTTTGTTTGCATTTCATTGCAAACGGCAGCTGCAGACCTTTTGCCAGGTGCAGAGAGGCGTTCACACATGCTGTGCCTGTGGCGCAGCGCTTGAGAACCTGGGCTGTGAGCTGCTTCGAGGCAGGACGTGTCGGAATGACGTCAGAATCGCTTGTCAGCTTGGCAGCTGAATGCTTGCCTAGTGCTGCAGTTTTGGGATCACCAGATCAACAAAGTGTGCTAGTTAAGGAGGCAGCATGCTGGCCAACCTCCGGTTAACCGGTCCATCCGTCCAAGTGCGTGACCCCCCTTGCCATAGGCAATTTGCACAAGAAGCTGGAGGCTGCTTGACTTGAGTTCCAAGTACTGTAGGCCCTCATTGCAACAGAGTCACCGGAGTCACTTGATTCAAAGTTATTCTCACTCTTATGGGTCTCAGAGCTTGGACAAGCCTGAATTTCATTTAGCATAAATCAGGAAGACTATGGAAGACTAATTTGAAGAGAAAAATGAAACACCGTAAAGCTTTGTTGTAGCCAAGCAGAAGTCACGTGCAGCACCTGGGCAAGTCGGCTGTTTGTCAAGTTTGTGTGAGATGGCCCAGAAACGAGTCATTCCCACTAGAGAGGGAGAGAGACACACTCATGGATATGCGTACTGACTTGATTGCGGTGCCACACGCCGGCCTAGGGTTCCATTTCCTAAGAGTACCAGTAAGGACCATCGGAGCCTGGGGGTCTTCAAGAGGAAGAAGGGCCAAAGTCTCAAGAGCGAGAGCGACGAGCAAGGCGACATGACGGCGTGCGCGCATGACTGCCAAATGTAGCCACCTGTGAGGTTCTGGGCTTAGCCTCATGCCATTCGGAAAAATGCAGGTACGCTGGAGTGGCCAACTCCAGTATCCCATCTTGCTGCCTAGCTTTGTTAGACCAGGTCAGCAGCAAGATGCCTGGTCCCCCTGCACTAAATTCAAAAGCGTAGGAAAAAACCACATCAAATCCAACAGGATCCCTATGACTAAAATACCAAAAGCGTAGGAAAAAGGCCACATCAAATCCAACAGGATCCCTATGACTCCAAGGGTTACACACACACGCCTCCCCGAGGGGAGGCAAAATTAAGGCTAGGACGAATGTGCAAATGTGCGCGCAGAAAGGACAAAAGAATGAAGACATGAAAAGGAAGACAGACAGGACAAAAGTGTGTGTGGTTGCAATGAAAGGGAAACCAAGTGCACAGGGACAACCGATGAGCCCACCTCATTGTCGAGACCTGGGCGACCTAACACCTGAGTTGAAGGTAGATGTGCGCGTACACACTAAGGCCCGGACCATTGTACGCGCAAAAGAACGAAAGGAGTGAGATGAACGGACATGAAGCAAGGGAAGACATGAAAAGAAAGAGGAAAAGAAGTGTGTGTAAAGGGGAAAGGTGAAAGGGGAACCAAATGGAGGGGACGGGAACCGATGAAACCAAACCTCATTACAACAACCTAGGAAGACCTGCCTCATTGAAGTGTGTACGATGTATGTGCACCTAAGTGTCCAACAGACTCCAATGAGCCTTGAACAGACTTTGGTCGCTGCGACCACGTACGGCTTGCCCGAAGGCTGCCACCTCTGACCGCTGCGGTCACGTAAGGGCATGCGCCAACTTGGTATTCCAAAGATGGGACAAAGATCATCGGACGTACGGCCTAGGCCACCTGCTGTCCGCTACGGACATCTGCGTTCCCAAAGCCGGGGAACATGGACGTACACCCGTTCGACAGGTCCACGGGAGGCACTCTGCGGGCTCATCCCGGGTTGGCACGAAGCCAAACACACTCATGGATATGCGTACTGACTTGATTGCGGTGCCACACGCCGGCCTAGGGTTCCATTTCCTAAGAGTACCAGTAAGGACCATCGGAGCCTGGGGGTCTTCAAGAGGAAGAAGGGCCAGAGTCTCAAGAGCGACGAGCAAGGCGACATGACGGCGTGCGCGCATGACTGCCAAATGTAGCTACCTGTGAGGTTCTGGGCTTAGCCTCATGCCATTCGGAAAAGTGCAGGTACGCTGGAGTGGCCAACTCCAGTATCCCATCTTGCTGCCTAGCTTTGTTAGACCAGGTCAGCAGCAAGATGCCTGGTCCCCCTGCACTAAATTCAAAAGCGTAGGAAAAAGCCACATCAAATCCAACAGGATCCCTATGACTAAAATACCAAAAGCGTAGGAAAAAGGCCACATCAAATCCAACAGGATCCCTATGACTCCAAGGGTTACACACACACACAAACAGAAACACAGAGACCTTGCCAACCACAAGTCTTGTGGCGAGTTTGCACGTGAAGAAAAGCCACGGTGAGCCAGCGCGAGCTTGTGAGGTGAAGCGCCATGACCACCACCTAATGCAGCTGGGGCCGGAACATGTGGTCGGGTGGGTGATGTGTTTATGTCGTCAATCACCCTATCATTCTCCAGATTTGCTATGCTATGATTTGCTTTGAGCTTTGCTCGGAGTTTGTGACCGACCACAAAACGCCTAGGCGCTTGAAGCAAATCAACCGGAATGTTGCTTGGCTCATGGCGGAATGAAGGTCGTTCAAGTGGTCGTTCAAGTCCACCCCTACTTACCCTTACCCCCCCAAATTGTGAAGGAGCTCCTTTGGGCCGAACACTCACGCACACACACACAAACACACTTGAGATGGAGCTCGGAAGGAGAATCAAACGGAGACGATGCGCTGAGTAACCCTTGACTTGATAGTTCAGTTACTAGTTATAGTGCAAAACAACCTTATTAACCTGCACTGCAATGATGGCCCCAAGGGAACGGCATGGTGATGAGTCCAGAACAGTATTGTTTAAATCATCGAGGTCCGAAATAACAGAACATCTGGAGGCTGGCCTGCAAGACCCTTGGGAACAGGGGTTGACATACACACACACAAACTCTCCTGTACTTCACCCCGTCATTGAACGGAATCATGTTCTCCACTAAACGAAGCGAAAAATCCACATTACAATTCCACCAAGCAGCATGGAAGGGAACATATATGGCAAAGAGGGTGGGAAAACTCTTCCTGTCTGCCCATCAGGGTCAATTGCAGACTGCAAATCACTTGTACTGTAAATGGTCCAACTCCTAATCTCCGGCTGGAAGATTAACAAAGGATAACTGGATAACAAAGAATATTGCAGTTAAAAAGGCATATGGAATACTATTTGAATCATATTGGTCAGGGGCGGGCGGGGAGGCTTTCCTATCACTGAGGCTGTTCTCATGCAGGTGCGGCAGCAGAAGTGGCGCGCAGCACTGGGGAAGCTATGCGGGATTCTGCGCTTGCAACCGGCGATCCAAGATGCGGCGCCGCTCGGCCCAGTGGGGGTGCTTGTGTTGTCGGAAACCCGGTTCATGCAGATTCGATGAGTGCTTCTTTGGCACACCACAAGCATTGGGAGCTTATGGATGAAGGATGGAGTTCACCCATGCAGCCCAAATAGCCCTACCATGGCATAAACAGCACGAGTTTAAAGGTTAATGAACTTTCCGTGGCTGCTAGCTCCAGGCAGAACCTCAAACTATTTTTTCATCAAGTGTTCAGAGTTTTGCGATTACGAACTGCTCAAAGCATTTTGCAAGCTACCCAATTGAACGTATGTTCGGAATGATTGAAACTAGGTGTCAGTCGCCCTCCACCCTGTTCCATACTCCCACCTGCAACTTCTTTCCTTTTTTCTCTCGTGGTGGCAGCGGACGGCTGAAACAGAGTCATTCTAGGTTTTTTTGTCGCACAGTCTGAGACTGCAGGCTACGCTTGGTTCAGCACACATGCTCCCGTGGCTTCAGGGGCTCCAAGGCAGGGCTTGCTCTGAGAGTGGACGCCAAAGGCCAGGGCGGAGTGCCAAACCTCCTCAGGATTGCTCACGGCCACTCTCTCACCTAATCTCACTTTGATGTTTGGGCAGCATGCGCATGCGCCAGGAACGCCACAAGCTTTTGGGATGCGCATGCCTGCTGGTCGCCGCGTCGAAGCACAACATAGGCGTCGACCCGACATGCTGAAGATGGTGTCGTTTGCTCCTGCTTCTCGAGGAGTAACTTTGGAGGAGGTGGCAAACCGATGCGAAGTGCAGGCCGGACCTGCTAAGGGGTTACTGGATGTTGGGGGTTGCCTGGCCTCCGAGCAACATCATGACTCTCTTGGAGCATGCTTTTAGTTTGTGGAGTTTATTACCTTGTGCAAACAATTGGAATGGCACGAAGCAACGCAAGCAGGGCATAATTGGTTGGTGAAGATGTGAGTCAGGTGTCAATAATTTGCAGTGTGGGACTGGGTATCAGGTTGATTCAGCCCATTGTTCCTGCAAAGGCAGGAATATCAATGGAATCCAGCATTATCTGAAGTTCTGCATGGACTTTGCTGCATTGTTGGCATTGGTAGGCGAACTTGCTCCAGAAGATGGTTTGGAAAGTATGTGCGCAGAGCGGACTGCGGATTTCCAGGTGCTCGCTTTGGGGGGTGTCTCCGGGCTTTCCTGTTCATCAAGCTACGGTTCTTCTGAGTTTCATGGCACACACGGGCACACATGAATTTCGCTGGGCCTTTGCGGGTGCCTTGAGGACGGAGGAAAATGCAGAGGCACTGATGATGCGCATGTGCAACTACCTCAATGTCACCCAGACAGGAGACTGAGAGGCTGCGCAGAGAGTTTCGGACATGATCTGCTGATTGTGCCGACAGCTTCAAGCTGCAGATGCAGAGATGAACATAAACCTGCATGTGTAGGAGGAGTTTGTGCTTACGGCCGCAAGCTTGTGGCTGTAGCACAACAGGGAGTCTTGGCATACCTCTTTGCTCACAAAATGCACTTTGAGTATTGGAATGCTCGAAGTGGAGGACATGTGGACAAAGGTCGCATTAGTTTCATGCTGATGATTTGCATTTCGTGTAACCTGGGCAATGTTCACAACCGTGAGACATTCCAAGGATGGGTGTGCACTGGCCGGAGATGGAGCTTTGTAGTTGGAGCTGCTTTCCTGCTTTCTGCGCAAGCCTTCTTCTACTTGATCGATGTAAATGATGCGCGCTGGCCGTAATTGGACACGCAATCGCTTGATAGCTTGATGATGTATAAAAAATTAACATGCTCATTTGTCACTTGCTAGCTTCGTTCACAGCACATAATAGAGCAACATGTTCTTCTTTCACTACGAACCCAGACATACATACATACCTATAATTTTGTGGGTATGTATGTTTCCTCAGACATACATACATACCTTTAACATACATACATACCTATAATTTTCTGGGTATGTATGTTTCCCCAGACATACATAGATACCTATAATTTTCTAGGTATGTATGTTTCCCCAGACGCACATACATACCTTTAACATACATACATACCTATAGTTTCTAGGTATGTATGTTTCCCCAGACATACATACATACCTATAATTTTCTAGGTATGTATGTTTCCCCAGACATACATACATACATACCTAT